GATGGAGGAGGACAGTGTTGTTGAGGAGAGTGGTCAATGCAGCTTTATCTGCGGTGGAGGTGGCCTTGCTGGCGCGCGTTGCTATGCGAGGGCACGCCTGCACATGGAACGAGGATGGGACTGTGAGAACTTCCTGACAAATCTTGTGGACATTGGAAGGTCGCGCGGGCAGAGGTGGAGCTACGGGTGAGGCGACTCAAGTGGCTCCAGCAAGCGGCAACTGACAGGAACAACATCATCCGGTTCTTCGAGGCGCTCTTCGGCACGATCGAGGGCCAGGCGCACCACACGGTCGCAGACGACGACTCCCTGAGCAGCTACGCCAATACCTGGGCCAAGAGTGCAGGACGACGTCGACGTGCTCGTGGACTGGTCTGGCGAGGCACAGGGCCTCCGAGTGATCGAGGGGCCGCAGACCGTGGCGTGGCTGAAAAGATAGATCTCGAGGGGGGAGCGTTGCAGGATAGAAGTCAGCGTGCTTCGTGCCAGAGGGCTCCAGAACGACATCCCGCCCCAACGAACATGACAGCCAAGCCCATAATTACCCGAAGAGGAAAATATCACTCCAGAGGTGGAGGCGGGTTGTTGACCTTGTCAGGTGGAGCTGGGGGCGGCGATGCGGAAGACAAATCTATTCAACACAGGCTGTGCGTACACATGTGCGGCAGGCACACGCCACAGTCAAGAGCTGCGCGTTTTGTAAACCTACCAACGTGTGCATACAGTGTGCGACACTGTGCTCGCTTCGGAGGTTACTGGTCGTCAACACCGCGCTCGGTCGGCACGACGAGGAAACTGTGTCGTCGACCTCGCTCGGGCGCTCATCCCAGCACAAGAGCCCAAATTGAACTGCACTTGATGTGAGCATGTAGCGGGATCATGGCTCGAGCTGAGATTACATCTTGTTCGCAATCTTCGATTTCTACCTGATACTCGGGCGCCTCAAATGTGGGCAACACCTTACGCTATGGATGTGGAAGGCGAGCCGAGTGTATGAAGAACGCGGGGATCGGCGAGGCATCGTGGGCGCTCCCGAAGTGCAAGCGCGCCGCCACGTCTGGCGGAGCCGTGGGCGAGACGAAGAAGACGAAGGCGGAGGAGGTCATCGAGGTGGGCCAAGGAGCCACCGTGCGAGGAGCTACCAAGGGGCAGATTGTGCAGCAGTTCGCCATCATCCTCAGGCTAAGCATGGCAAGCTACCTGAAGTCGGTCATCAACTTGGTCTTCTTTACGGCGCTGCTACAGGTTACGCCGGCTTGCGTGGAGGCGGCGGTCAGTGCGGGAACGGAGTACCACAGGGCGGCGATGCAGCTGCGGGAGGACGCAAAGGACGACCCCGGGGCCCCGAGGTGGACACGGCGTCGCTCGGCAGCCCTCACCTGTACACGTACAAGGACTTCGTGCGCGCGCTCCTCGCGAGTACCGTGGAAGGCCGAGAGCGCGAGATTCTGAGCGACTCCTGGAAGAACTGCATCATGAAGTACAGACTCGCGCAGGCGGCGGTGGACACCACGTACTTCAGGGTGCGTGTCCCGCAGGGCAAGGAGGCCAAGCAGAAGCGCAAGCGCATGGAGGGCAAAGTGCGGCTGCAGTGGGCGCCCTCGACGACGCACGTCGCGGCGGAGCTGGACAGGGTGCTGCACGCCGAGGTCGTTCGCTCGGGAGGGGAGGTCACGATCGGAGCGGCGCCGCGTGGTGTCCTGGAGAGGGGCGCACGTGGGCTCTTGAGCAAGCTAGAGCCCAACTGGGACACGAGGCAGGCAGGAGGCTGCAGTGTCTTGCGGGTAGCGTGGGATTGGGAGAATGACTGGCTGGTGGGATTGTAAATCTGGCGTCGGTCCTAGCCTCCTTCATCTCCCCTTTGGCGGAGCAAGTTTTAGAGGATCCCAGGGCCGTTCGAAAGGGCGAGGTGAGGTACGAGTAGAGGTATGGGAGAGCCAAAATCGCCCCCCCTGAGCAAGGGAGGGGACGGGGGCTGTTTTGCGGGGCCTAGCTCTGAAGCGAGGGATGCCGCTGTGGCTCCTCGCTAGAGGGTTTGGGCATCCTGCTGCCTATATCGCCTTTAGTACAGAAGTGCGGGCCGCCGCCCTATCGCCCTGTGTTCACCCCTCTTAGGGCGCTGGGGGGCCCGAGTGATTTCCACCAGTGCCAGAGTGACGTAACATTGCAGCCATTCGGTAATGCCACCCAGCGAATTCAACAGTCAGATAACTCGGCTTGTCGTCGCCCACGGATGTCTAAGTCGACGTCTCCTCCTCCTCCTCCTCCTGCCCCTCCTCCTCCTTCTCCTCCTCCTCCTCCCTCTCCTCCTCCTCCTCTCCTCGTCGCCCTCCAGCTCATGGAGGGTGTGCCCCGTGTCCTCCTCCTCCTCCTCCTCCTCCTCCTCCTCCTCCTCCTCCTCTTCCTCCTCCTCCTCCTCCTGCTCCTGCTCCTGCTCCTGCTCCTGCTCCTGCTCCTCCTCCTCCTCCTCCTCCTCCTCCTCCTCCTCCTCCTCCCCTCTTCCTCCTCCTCCTCCTCCTCCCGATTCGGCTCCTCGTCCTCCACCTCCTCCGCCCCTCCTCTCTCTGCAGTGCGCCGTGGCTCGGCGCGTCTCCGTCGCCCTTGCTCTTCAGAAGCGGACGGAGACGGCAACGCCAAACTCGTGTTTGCTACCCCGGCCTGGGCCAGGGGCCGCGACCCGTAGGTCCGGAGCGGCGCATGCAGACAACCCGCACAATAAGAATGCGCGGTAAGTGTGCAAGGGCCTTGGCTCTTCGAGCGGGGCTGGCCATCGAAAGCGGTTGAGGATGCACCGATGACAGAAGAGGCGAAGATGCGAGGGTACCCTCGGGAGAGCGATCGTCCTTACTACCAAGATTGACTGTAGGACCCCGACAAGTGCAGCACCGCTTGGGGGACACAAGTACTCCTCTCTCCCCGTGGGGGGGCAAAACCTCTCCCCGACGGCTTTCTTGTTCATGGCGTGGGCCCCCGAAGATCTCGACCTCCTCCCAGGTGGCCGGCTTGCCAGCCTGAGCCGTTCTTGGCAGACCCAGGGCCGGGAAGCGGCCTCGCCTGGAGACCGAAAAGCTGGGAAAAAAAACACAACGACCAAAAACTGCGTCGCGATTATTCTTGAGGGGGAGAAGGGAGGATCGTGCCCACAGAGCTTCACCCGACTCGGCCTCGACCGCTGTGCGAATCAGAAGGTCGCCAGGCAAACCAGGAGCACCACACGGGCCGACCTGCGATAGGCAAGCACACGCAGTTGCCATCGCGATTATTTTGCGACGCCAGGATCAGCAGGAACATCTACCGAGAGCTCTACCCCGCAGAGACTAACAGGAGATATGTCGACCCCTATTCCAGGCTTCGCGGGGTTTTCGAATGGACCAACATTTTTGGGCCCCACCCTGGGATGTACGATGGGGGGGCGTCCATCCTCGATAAGGAATGCGCCCGAATAGCCCCCTTGGGGAGTATCTCAAGGTTTCCCCCTTTTCTGAACTGCCAAACATTTCTGGCGCAACTCTGGTATTGGGAAGGAGAAGAATCGCCTGCGAGAGACACCTACTCCAGGAATTGCGACCTGATCAGGGCTCCGAGGCGAAGCCGGCCCTGACGGCGAACGCCCCTTCCCCCCATGGCTGCCTGGGGGGGCAGAGAACGAGGCAAGGGCCTGGGCACTGGCATGTTGTCAAGATAGCTTTACGCTAGAAACATTGCCTTCACTCCAAGCGGTTTCGTAAACAGCAGTCCAGGCTAAGAGATCCGACAGTTGTACGAGAACACAAGCTCCCAGTCCCGATTCTTGAATATCTTGAGCGAAATCTGGAGTCTATGACAGTTGACGCGTTTTCTTCAGATGTCTGATGGGTGTAAAACAATACCTCGTGAACGCAAGTTATTTCAGATCCGCGCGGAGAGAGGGAGGAGGATGACATGGATGACATAGAGACATAGGGACGGAGGGCTTAGATATTCAAGGAGAGGACATAGATATTCATCACACGGGCCCACTCAGATGGCACGCTGAAGACAATCATGCTCGCAGCCAGCATCAGCGTGAAGATAGACTTTCGGACGTCCGCCTGGATTTCTTGGGTCGGCGCTGGACCCCCCCTCCGCGCGCCAGGGGGGGCGCCGGAGGCAGTGCGAAGGCGGGCACAGTGCCGACCCATGGAATCAGCGCGGACCTCCGAAAGCGTGCGCTCCTGCAGTTTGTTTGTGTGTTTGCTCGCCCGAGAAGGCACCCAAAAGGCGAAAGTGAGGCAAGGGCACGGGTAGTCACCCCTCTTATCGGCGGCGGGCGAAGGGGGAAAGTGTGAAGAAGAAGGCCTTCTTGGGAGGCGGCGGGACTTCTTAGAAACGTTCTGCGGCTTTCAGAGAAGTTCTTTGCGCGTCTCCTGGGAAGGCTCAGGAAACGTCTCAAAAGGCCGGGGAACTTCCGAGCTTTCTGAGAAGGCCTTCTGCTTCTCACTTCCCCCCCTCGCTCACCGCCGAACGCTGCTCGTCGGAAGATCCGCCCCTGGACACCTCATAGGGTCCACACCAGCGGGTGTCGCATCCAAGGTTGATTTCTGATAGGCCCCCAAAGCCCGAAGCGGCACCACGAGATCGAAATCCAGGAACCGCCTCAGGCGCGATATTTTTGATCCCAGAAGCCCGCTCGTCACCCTTCAGGGGCAACTCATGGGGTCTCCCAGGTCATATTGCCGGCCGTTCCCGAATCGACACTGACCGACGCTGACCGACGCGAGTCGACCCTGGTCGACGCTGAATCGATGTTGATCGGGAGGAGGAGGAGGAGGAGGAGGAGGAGGAGGAGGAGGTGAAGGAGAAGGTAGGAGGAAGATGGAGGATAAGGACGAGGAGGAGGAAGGAGAAGAAAGAGAGAGGATGAGGAGGAGGAGGAGGAGGAGGAGGAGGAGGATGAGGAGGAGGAAGGAGAAAGGACGGAGGAGGAGGAGGGAGGAGGGAGGAGGAAGAGGACAAGAACGAGGAGAAGGAGGAAGACGGTCAGTTGAGTATGAGGAGTTCGACGCGCCGACGGCGCCCAGGGCGAGGCCGCCGTCGGGGAAGAGGCTGCGAGGAGGCAGGGCCAGTGTTTTGCAAGAGGAAGCCAGGACGAAGATAGCATCGGGTGAGGATAAATCGAGGATCACCGAGATCCAACGGCTCTGGAGGATGTCTCGGGCGCCGCGGCCTTCTCAGAGATCTCTGAGAACGCTCTAGAACGGATTTGTCCTCGTCCTAGCCCTGTCCGATCTTTACCGCCGTGGGCACGCGCGCTCCACGAGTGCCCCCTTTCTTGGGTGGAAAGAACATGTCCGTATCCACGCCCTCGCGGGCCGGGCCCCCGGGCCGCGACCGACTGGCTACGGGCCATTTTTGCTCGCGGATGCCCCTCGCGGAACGCATCCGCGCGACCGTGTGCCTGCGGGATCGCGACCAGGAAGCCCTCGATACAGATGTTCGCCGCTCCTAAATCCCTTTCAGCCCAGAGCAGCTGCCAGGGAAAAACCATAGGATGCACCAACAGATGGAACGTTCTCCGAGCCCCGCACGGCCTTCTCGGGCCGGCGCAGGGCCCCCTCCTCCTTCTCATTCTTCTCCTCCCCCTCCTCCTCCTCCACCTCCTCCTCCTCCTCCTCCTCCTCCTCCTCCTCTCTCCTCCTCCTCCTCCTCCTCCTCCTCCTCCTCCTCCCCCCTCCTCTCCTCCCCCTCTCGGGCCGGCGCAGGGCCCCCTCCTCCTACTCTTCCTTCTCCTCCTCCTCCTCCTCCTCCTCCTCCTCCTCCTCCTCTGCCCACGAACCCCCTGGCGCGCTCCGCGCGCCAGGAGCGGGGGGCCAGCGCCGACCCGAGCCATGCGCACCGCCGGCAAAGGCTGCGTGGCATCCGGCTTCGGCTTTGGGCTTGGCAAAACTCACCGCTCTCGTTGATGGGCCTGTTTTCCACCACCACCACCATAATTTGGATGAGAGAGAAGAGGAGGAGAAGGAGGAGAAGGAGCAGGAAGAGGAGGAGGAGGAGGAGGAGGAGGAGGAGGAAGAGGAGGAGGAGGAGGAGGAAGAGGAGGAGGAGGAGGATGGGGAGAGGGAGGATGAGGAGGAGGAGAAGGAGGAGGAGGAGGAGGAGGAGGAGGAGGACGAGGAGGAGGACCCCCTCCCCCACCAACTTATGGTGGTGGTGGTGGAAAACACGTCCATCACTCGCACATCCCCGCCGCGGGCCCGTGCCGTGCCCATCTTCAGGGAACGAATCCACGAGGGCTGGCGACACCGCTGCCCCTCGTGCTCTCGGGTGGCGACGCTGCGGCGGGTGAGGAGGCTTGTCGGAGGCTTCCCTGGGGGCAGAGATTAGACAGACGTGTGCCTTTGCTGCGCTTGGAGGGACAATCGGGGGCGACGGGCAGATAGTATCAATGTCTGCCACAGCGCGGGCAAGGCCACCTCACGGTCCGCTAAGCAAGAGTGTGGTAGCAACCGCCGCCGCGGCCAGCGGGGCGCGCTCGGGGCGCAGCCAGGCGCGCCGCCGCAGGGCCCACCGCTCGCGGCCACCGCGGTGCTGGCGCCGCCAGGCCACGCGCGCGGTGTCGGCCACGATGCCCGGTGCGCCGCCTTGATCGTCAGGCGCGCTTGGCTGCCGCACGCTGCTGCGCAGGGCCCCGGATGGGTGGCCTGCGTGCGTTGCGGGGCGTCTGCGCCCTCGTGGCCGGGGCTGGCGGCGGCGCCGTGCGCGGGCCGGGCCGCGGCGCTGCCGCCGCGGGCAGCAGCTTTGCTGCTGCTGCCCGTAGTACGGGCGGGCGGGCGCGAGGCCGACTGGCGAGAGGCGCTGCAGGCGCGCTTGGCGCAGCGCCCGGGGCCGCCGGACGAATTCGTATTGTGGGCGGCCCGCGCGCGGGCTGCGTGCACCCCGCCTTCCCCCGCCCCTCCTCCCTCCCTCCGCCGCTGCCTCTCTCTGCCGCTGGGCCTCTTCGCTGGGTGAAACATGTGGTAGCAACCGCCGGTCCGCTCCCGCCCCAGACCAACACCAGTGGTACTCGTCAGGGCCGGAGTAACCACCAAGAGGGCATCTAAGTGTGATGCTGCGCGCCAGCCGCTGACCAATCCCACAAGAAACTCACTCCTTCTCCTCCTCCTCCACCTCCTCCTCCCCCTCATGATCATCCTCCTTTTCATCCTCCTCACCCCCAGGCGTTCGCAGACAGCGAGGTCAGATCAGGGTGCAAGCCCAGTCACGGGGGTCTGAGATCTTCCCTCCAGCTTCGAGAATGTGGTCACCCTCCCTGCAAATTGCCATCGTAAGCAACGGTGGGTGAGGATGATGATGATGATGATGATGATGATGATGAGGAGGAGGAGGAGGAGGAGGAGGAGGAGGAGGAGGAGGGATGAAGAGACTCTGGACCGTCCCCAGGCAGCGCTGAGATGTTCCGTGGGCCTGAAAGCGGGCGCTATGATACACATCTCAAAGTTGGCGAATGAAGGTCACACGCACCAGGCCATGTCAACCCGTGATCCCCGCCCAGGCCAAGCCTCCCCCCACAAACACTCTCACACACAGACACACAGACACACAGACACACACACACACACACACATACACACTTACATACACACATACACACACACACCTCCGACCAAAGCCTGCTCGAAACGAGTCCCTGGCGAGCCTGACTGCAACACGATGACACAGTCCTCGACCCAGTAGAAGACTACGTAGAAGAAAGCGGTCGAAGGCCGCGTTGATTACATACGGTGAGGGCATTGGACAAGAAACCATTGGATAAGTCATCCAGAGTCAGGAAGATGATGGAACATCACGTGAGGTTTGGCCATGGCTACCACCGCCGCCAGCATTAGATCAGGAACCCTCCAGGGTCTGAAGCCTCATTGGCACAGTCCTTAACGAACGCCCACACCGTTTTCATGCGAACAGCCATCCGCACAGCAAGTGTGATCAGTTGCCATCGCGAGCTATGATCCGCCCCTGGAACTCACCCACTGTGGGGGAACACTTCCAGCCCGTCTCCCGAGACGCGCCCGACTCGCGGCGACAATGGGGGTGCCCGAAGGCCTAGAGTACTGGTGGGGGTAAGAAGACAGACATCCAACACACGGACTCATCCGGATGTAGCGCCGAAGACGTGCTATGTCGCCGCGTCGTTTGCTCTCGACGCGCCCAGGGGGGAAGGCCTCGGCCACAAGGGCGAACGCCGCCTCGGACGCAAGGTGTGCCGTGGGTTTGCCGCGGTGCCGAGAACAAACGGCGCGGCGACACACCCAGCAGCAACGTGAGCATACATGCTCGGGCGTCCGCACGGATTTCGCGGGTCGGCTCTGGACCCCCATGCCCGCATCCCTTTCCTGGAGCGAGAGACGCACCAAGGGCGGCACTATGCTTGCGTCTACGCCGCTTCTGGGCCAGAAGGCGTCGACCCCTCCCCCAACGAGCAGAACCCATTGCGTATCCTCTCCTGATGGCCCCAAGACCCGAGAACTGTCGCTGGCTGTCGAAACTTCAGAAAAAAACGCCAGGGTTGCGAGAAACAGTCTGTCGGAGGTGCGGGGGGAGGAGGAAGGGAATCGATACGATTTGTCCTTCCCTCCTCCCAAGATGGCCCAAGAGGCCTCGAAGAGAGCCCCAAAACTGTCCAACAGGGCCCCAAGACCTACCAAGAGGCCTCCAAGACAGCACAAGAGGCCCCAAAGACGGCTCCAAGGAGGAGTCCAGACGGGGGACCCGAACGGACATTTCGAGCCCTCGGCCTGAGAAGCTCCCAGGAGGCCCCCAGAGGTCCCTAAGAAGAAGCCCTCCAAGAAGCCCCAAGAAGCCCCCAGAAAGCTTCAAGAGGCCCCAACGAGTCTTCCAAGCGGCCCCCAAGAGCTTCCCAAGAGGACCCCAAACTACCCCCAAGAGGCCCCCGAGATCGCTCGGCATCGTCGCCGTCGCCCTTCGCAATACGATCTGTCCTTCCCTCCCTGAGCCCGGCTCGCTGCGCGCCCCCCGACGTCCTGTGTTTTCTGGGTGGGCTCCCGGGCCTCCTCGGCACATTCTCCGGGACCGGCTTTTCATCCTCGAATCGTTCTCTGAATGTCGTTTCTCGGTGCTCCTGGCCAAAGGCCTCCAGAAACCGAAATTGTTTCAAAACCGCCCGGCGCGATTGCTTTCACCCCGCGACGGGATCTCAGCCTGGGGGTCCAATACCGACCGAGCGCGTGGACCAAGATTCCGAAGGCGGACCCCGCGGCGACAAGGGCGCCCCTGGCGGCCCCAGAAAGGGCGGAACGCGCAGACTTCAGACTCGAGCTTGGGGGACTCGCAATGGCTTGACAGGGCCGCCAGAAAAATAGCGGTAAATGCTAAAGGTCTTCAGTTTTGGTCCCCCCTTTTCCTCTCGGCGGTGAATAGGACTGGTTCTAAATACTCCTCCTCATCCTCCTCCTCCTCGTCGTCCTCCTCCTCCTCCTTCTCCTCCTCCTCCTCCTCCCTCTCCCCATCCTCCTCCTCCTCCTCCTCCTCCTCCTCCTCCTCCTCCTCCTGCTCCTCCTCCTCCTGCTCCTCCTCCTCCTGTTGCGCGGCAGGTGTCGCGGAAAACCATAATTGGTTACCCTCTCTTGGTTGGATCCCAGTCCTTCAATAAGGTCGCCGAATTAATGATTAGCGACCCCCCATTGGAGGGGGGTTCTAAAGATCTTGTAGGGTTGGTTACCCAGAATGAACTTTGTCGCGGGCTACCGCTGAAAGCATCTGACGAAAACTAAGCCGCCCAAACTCAAGAAATTATGGGGGGGACCACGACGGCAAACTCGAGCTCCGGCAAACTCGAGTCTTACGTTTCCCCGGGTAGAAATCCCGGCCCTCGAAGTTCGCACACAGCCGAAGCTGGCCGCTGCGGCACGGTCGGTCCTGTGGAGCCGTAGGGAGCGCTCCGTCCAATGCCGGAAGCGCCCGAAGGCGTGCGAGCGGACGCCGACCATCGCCGCGCGCTGCAGGACGTAGGGCGCGCAGACCACGAGTACCCAGCGCCTCGTCGCAGGGGCGATGCGCGAGATTCGAGGATCATTGACGCCTTTGAACACAATGTTATTTTAAATTATATCCTGGCGAGTTCACTCACACGGAGGAGGCAGGGGGGGGGCGTGGCGAGGCCCGAAAGGAATTCTGGAGTTCACGCAAGTCAGGACCACTGGCACGCCTTGTCGGTCCTGCGCTGCTTGAAAAAGCGGCGGAGAGGGTGGGTGGGGGGTGGGGAACATGCCGTACAGGTGAACTTTCCTGATTCTTCATGCAGGGGACGAGTTTGTTTTTACTTGATTCTGAGCCTCCAGGAAGCCTCTCCCGTCCACCTTCGTGCCTGGGGCCCCCAAGCCTTGCACATTCGTGTCCAGAACTTCGGGGCAGGTGCAGCCGTGGAGACGAGGTGCCGGTTCATACGAGGGGGGGGGGGGGATTGGCAAAAAGGGGTTCGCGAATCACCTCGCGCAGCTGGTTTTCCCAGCGCCTCACGGCGCCAGAGTCGCCAATGTATGCAGAAAGGGCGCCCAGCGGAGAGGCGGGGCCGAAACCGGCTGCATGCCTCAGATTTTTCGGCGACGAGCCCAGGGGGGATATGGACGGGGAAGTCCTTCCCGGCGGGGCTTCTCAAACGACATCCGTTCTTCAGGGAAGCCGTCTACGTCTTCGGAGAAGGCTCAGAACCTTCTCAGAAGACCCGAGGCCTTCCGAGCCTTCTGAGAAGACCCGCCTCCTCTGACTTCCCCCCCGGGCACTCCGCCGAACTTGATCCCCCCATTGCGCCCGCCCGCACCGTCGTCGCTCGTCGCCGCCGCCAGACCCGCCGCCGAGCTTCTAGCCAGAACGCGCACCAGGACGGGTCCAGCGGTCGAAGGCTCGAAGGCCTGAGGCCCGAGTCTCGGAAGCCATGAGACCCGGCCCCCTCCTCCTCCTCTCCTCCCCCTCCTCATCCTCCTTCTCCTCCTCCTCCTTCTTCTCCTCTTCCTCCTCCTGCTCCTCCTCCTCCCCCTCCTCCTCCTTCTCTTCTTCCTCCTCCTCCTTCTCCTCCTTCTCCTCCTCCTCCTCCTCCTTCTCCTCCCTCCTCCACCTCCTCCTCCTGCTCCTCATCCTAATCCTCCTCTGCCTCCCCCTCCTCCTCCTCCTCGTGCTCCTTATCCCCATCTTCTTTTCCAGCACCCGTCCGCCCAGACCTCCCCCCGTGCACGTCAGACTTGCCTGAGCCTGCTGGGGAACTCGCGCCCTCCGTCCCATCGGCGCGCGGCGGCGCCCCGTGCGGCGCGCGTAGTCCCGGGCCGGCAGGGCTGCGCTGGAGGGCGGGCCGACGGCCAGCAGCGCGTTCCGGCGCTCCTGCCGGGGGGGCGGGATGCCAGAGACGAGAGGCCTCCAATACTTGCCGGGCGAAGAGCGGTGCAAGATACACTGTTCCGCCGTCGGGGACGGCTGCCCGGGCGGCTGCAAAGTTTACACCCCTACGGTACCATGCAGGGGTACCACACAGTGGATATACAGAGCAGAAGAAGAACACCCTTCAAGAACATGAGGCCGTCCGCCAGCCAAAACATCCTCAAGCATAAGACCGCTCGAGGGTACCGTCCCCCAGGATGCACATAAGAGACAACAAGCACGAACATCAGGGTACCCTCCCCGAACCGACCTCGATCTTATACCTCGGTCCGGCCGTAGGCCTTCAAGATGGGGTTTGAGCAAATAGGGTCGGAGGATCGCGCCGCTTCGACGATGCATCGGCGATGTATCGGCGACACCGGCGGCCAGCAGCGCCTTATGGCGCTCCTGTAAGGGGGGGGGGCCAGAGACCCATCAGCGGCGAGCACAGGAGGGGAAGTGAGAGGGGGCAGGCCTTCTCAGAGAATCGGGGATACGCAAGACTCGGATTTTAGGGACTCGGGTTGGCCTGACGAGGCCATCGAAAAAGTGACGACACCCAATATGAATTTTGAAGCGAACTCGCGCTGCAAACATCCCACGAAAACTGAACCGTCAACATCCAGGATCTGCTCGTCAAAAAGCGTCGGCAATCCCGAGTTCCAGCATACTCGAGTCTTACGTTTCATTTCACCGACAGAAGGCGGCAGAGCTTGTCAGAAGCCCTTACTCCTCGGGAGAAGCCGTCTGTGGCTTCGGTCGGAGAAGGCTTCCGGTTCTCAAAAGGCGCGAGAGGACTTCTGAGAAGCCCCGCCGCTCTCTGAGGCCCTCTCTCACGTCCCCCCGGGGGCTCGCCGCTGAACAAAGATCTCCGAAGTTATGACTGGTGCAATCCCAACGTTTGATGTCGGCCTCTGGGGCCCGTCTTACGGAAGTCTTACGGCCCAAGGACAATGACACATCGATCGGGGATGAAAAACTGTCCTCGGGTAAGCGGTCGGGACCCTTGGTGCCGCGAGTTGAATCAAACAACATGTCGGGGCTGCTCGAGACTACGCGTGTAGAGTGTATGCTCGCTCGCTTTTCCAACACCTTGCTGCACAAAGGATGAGGCCACCACCAGCTGCTGCCCAGGCGATGGAGCCACAACCAAGCAGTGCGCTGGTGCCCTGCCAGCGCTGCCCCGTACACTGACGAGGGGCCCTTGAGAAACGAGACGGCTGAGGACACCACATCGCGATCGAACCGCCTGCTGCCAGACAGTTTGGGCAGAAGGGGGGCCGGGGGGTTGCCAGAAGAAGACTTGGGGTGCTCGCTGGCGGTTGTCGCAGCGGTCGTTGTTGCCGTCTGCGTGCGCAGTTACAGCCTACCAAACCAAGCCTCACTGCCATTTCGAAGTATGCGTGGTGGCCGGCGGAGTAGCTGGCGGTCAACGCAGGACCCGCTGCCCCTGTGAGCACCAGGTGGGGTTACGCCATTGTGGATGGGCAGTGCGAGTTCATAGTTTGATGCGTGAGAAACTCTTTTTGCACACTGGCTCGACCACCAAAGCCCACGCCACCATTCCCGAAATTCGAACAGTGGCGGTCCTGGCCCATGCTTTCCGCGTCACTCTGGAGCCCCTGGGGCCCTCTGGGCATCGTGAGGGGTGCTCCGGTGGCCGTGGGCCTGAGATCCGACGCCCTGCTTCCTGCCGAGACCCGGCTTTGGACAAACCTCCCTTTCGTAAGCCTCCCTTTAGTGAAAACGGCCTGGGGCCGGAACCGACGGTCCTCCTCCTCCTCCTCCTCCCTGGGCTGGTCTTAGTGGTATCGAAGGTATCGTCTTGCCTGCCTGCGGCACCGCTCGCACGTCGTGGCCCAGGAGGAGGGGGAGAAGGAGGAGGAGGGGGGAGAAAGAAGAAGGAGGAGGATGAGGAGGAGAAGGAGGAGAAGGAGTAGGATGAGGAGGAGGAGGAGGATAAGTTGCCGCCAGCAATGTTCCCGGAAAGGGCTGAGCCCAGGGTTCTCTTTTAGTTGGTAAACCTAATCCCCCGGTGCCAACTTGAAGGAGGCCGGCGAATTTTTTCCCTGATAAATAACGAGGTCGAAGGAGGCCGGCGAATTAAAATTTGAGGATGTCTCGAGCGAAACGCTTGTTTTTGAAATCCCGATCGATAAATCACAGGGTGCGGGCCACTTTTTCGTGTGTTGAGGATGTCTCGAGCGAAACGCTTGCTCCGCAGAGTTTGCCGAGGATGTCTCGAGCGAAACGCTTGTTTTGCAGAGCCGACCGCGACGCGGAAAAGCGCCCCGCGCGAAGGAATTTCGATGATGTCTCGACTAATTCGTTTGTTTTTGTACGATTTCCTGGAATTTTGGCAGGATGTCTCGAGCGAAATGCACGACCCCACCCTAGCACGACCATACCCCAGCACGACCACACCCCAGCACGACCAGACCCCAGCACGACCCCACCCCAGCACGATCCCACCCCAGCACGACCATACCCCAGCACGACCACACCCCAGCACGACCCGACCCCAGCACGACCCTACCCCAGCAAGACCACACCCCAGCACGACCACACCCCAGCACGACCTCACCACAGCACGACCACACCCCAGCACGACCACGCCCCAGCACGACCACGCCCCAGCACGACCACAGCCCCAGCACGACCACCCCCCCAGCACGACCACCCCCCAGCACGACCACCCCCCAGCACGACCACACCCCAGCACGACCACACCCCAGCACGACCACTCCCCAGCACGACCACACCCCAGCACGACCACACCCCAGCACGACCACACCCAGTCGCACCCCCGTGGAATGTTTCGTGGCCCCCGTGGAATGTTTCGTGGGTGTCTGGTTGAGTGGTTGCCTTTCATGTGGAATTTTCACGGGTGTGTCTGTGGAATGTTTCGTGAGGTGTCTCGAATGTTTCGTGAGGTGTCTCGTGGGATGTTTCGCGGGGTGTCTCGTGGGATGTTTCGTGAGATGTCGCCCAGTTGGGTATCGTGAAAACGTGACCATGCTGCACATGTCATTATCCCTTTCCGGGTTCGTGGGTCCATCATGTTTTTTACGTAAGGCAAGCCAAGTGGCAAGCCAAGCCAAGTGACGCCAACATGTTCTTAACGCAGTAGAACATGTTGGCGTCAGGGGCTGCAGTTGTGATGAGCTGCATGGAGTGCAGGGGAGGAGGAGGAGGAGGGGGAGGGAAGAGGAGGAGGAGGGAGGAGGGAGGAGGAGGGAGGAGGAGTGAGGACGAGGGAGGAGGGGGGAGGAGGAGGGGGGAGGGGGTTCTGACGCTTTTCGTTTTTTCCTGGTCCTCTTCGGCTGGTTCGGCCTTTCCTGACGCCCTCGTCGCCGCGGCTGGATCTGCCTCCCCTCCTAGGACTTCCCCCCCCTCCTCTTCGCCCTGAGCACGCCCTGGGCCGGCAGGCGGGGACGACGACGAGACCGTCGCGTCGACCACCTCGCCGAGGCGCCGCCCCGCGCGCCCGGGGGGGGGGGAGGAGGAGGAGGATGAGGAGGAGCTCGGCGAGGAGGAAGAGGAGGAGGAATGAGGGAGAGGAGGGGGAGGAGGGGGAGGGAAGAGGAGGAGGAGAGGAAGGAGGAGGGAGGAGGAGGGAGGAGGGGGGAGGAGGAGGGGGGAGGGGGTTCTGACGCTTTTCGTTTTTTCCTGGTCCTCTTCGGCTGGTTCGGCCTTTCCTGACGCCCTCGTCGCCGCGGCTGGATCTGCTCCCCCTTCGTCTGTTACCTGCTTCGGCTGACCCATCCACCCTCAGCTGCTTCGGCTGACCCCCCTCTCCTGCTGGTTACCGAAATGGGGGTCGGGGAGGCATGCGAACCCTGTGGCCGAACCAGCCAAACGTTAAACGAGGCCGAACCAGCCAGCCCGACTGGCGCTGTCTCTTCAAAACGAGGACCCAAAAGAGGCTCCCCAAAGTCCCAAAACGAAACGGCCGCATCCAATAACCCGCGTACCCACTACCCAGGCACGGCGGCGGGATATGCCGGGAGGCATGTAGATAACAGCTAGAAGGGCAGCAGAAGCAGCAGCGAGGGTGTTTTTTTCCCGGAAAAGGGCTTGAGCCCAGGGTTCTCTTTTAGATGGTTTCCCCCCCGGGTTTGACGGGAAGAGGGCCGGCGAATTTCTTTTGCGATAAATAACAAGTGGGAAGAGGGCCGGCGAATTAAAATTTGAGGATGTCTCGAGCGAAACGCTTGTTTTTCAGAATTTGTTGAGGATGTCTCGAGCGAGACGCTGGTTTTGCAGAGTTGGGGATGTCTCGATCGAGCGAAACGCTTGGTTTCAGAATTTGTTGAGGATGTCTCGAGCGACACGACGCTGGTTTTGCAGAGCCGACCGCGACACGGCAAAGCGCCCCTCGCGCAGGAATTCCAAGGATGTCTCGCGCGTGCCGCGTCCCGCGCGCGGGTATTTGGATTTCTTGGGATTTTGACAGGATGTCTCGAGCGAAACGCTTGTTTTTCATAATTTGTTGAGGATGTCTCGAGCGAAACGCTGGTTTTGCAAAATTGGAGGATGTCTCGAGCGGTGGCCTCGTGGGGGGCCAGAATTCAAAGGATGTCTCAGGCGAAATGCTTGTTTTCACGTCCCGCTCGCAGGAATTCCGAGGATGTCTCGCGCGTGCAGCGTCCCGCGCGTAGGAATTCAGATGATTTTGACAGGATGTCTCGAGCGAAACGCTTGTCCCCAGCACGTTCCGTAGCGCGTCCCCTTGGCAGGTCCCGCGATGCGTCCCCATGGCACGTCCCTTGGCACGTCGCTTGGCGCGTCCCTTGAGACGTTCTGCGTCGCGTCCTCCTGGCATGTTCCCCTGTCCATTAGCTCTGGGGCAGCTACTATGTGTTCAGGCAGCTCGAGCTTAAGATCCAGATCAGTTCGGTCAGGACTCGGATGCAAAGGAGGACTCGATCCACGAGGCTATAGAGCACAATCGCGCCATGGCA